GCCCTAGAGAGTTCCTACAAAGCCTCCACTCTGCACATCTGGAAAAGGTTGGCTGGAATGCCATCAAAGATCTCAGAGGGGCTAAGTAGTCTGCCAAGGGCAGAGGAGGTCTGGTGGAGCCAAGTTACCCACCCCTCAGTCCCTATGCAACTCCTTCCTCCAGGCCTGCCAGGCCTCCTGAACCCAGCCCACCAATCTCAATGCTTGACTGAGGAACTGGGCGGGGGCACCCAAGGGTGACATCCATACCAGACCTGACACTCACTGCAAGGAATAGATACAAGTCTCCATGTCCCAACTGGGAAACTGAGGCACTGAGCAAGGAAGCCCAGATGGTCCTTCCTGTCTCCAGGTCCTTTGTTAGTTCTGTGGCAAAACACAGCACTGTGTTTGGCCTGTAAGGTTGGGTTGATTTGGGCTCAGAGTTCAAGGTTCAGCCCATCAGGAGAGAAGGGCAGCTGGGCACATGGCATTGGCAGTCAGAAGACGTGATGAAAGCTGGCACTCTGCTCACTTACTGTTTTTAAACTTTTACTTAATTTTATTGATTCAACTCTCTCTTTCTCCTCTCTCTCTCATGTTGTATGTGTGTGTGCGTGTGTGTGTGTGTGTGTGTGTGTGTGTGTGTGCACATATGACATGCATGTGCATACATGGAAGCCAGAAGTCAACCATCCACACTGGTTTTGTTTTGGAGACGTGTTTTTCACTGGCCTGGGGCTTGCAAATTCGGCCAGGCTGGCTATAGGTTAGCTGATCAGTGAGCCTCAGGAATCCACCCATCCATCCCTTCCCTGAGCTGGGGTTACAAGGGATGGATGTAACACCACCACACTCTGTTTTTAACCTGGGTTCTGGGGCTTGAACTCAGGTCCTTTAGCTTGTGGGGCAAGCACTTTACAGATTAAACCATGTCCCTCAGTCAGGTCCTGTTCTTGCTTCGTCCATAGCAAAATCTCAAATTCTTACTTCTTTACCTCAAAGTTTCTCCCAGCTCAATGCCATCCTCATTCCTACCACTGCCCCTGAAATGTACTCACCGCTGTCCCCAGTAACTCACAGTGTTGTATCCTCTGGATAGCCAGAGAGCACCAGGGAGCCACCTTCCTCTGCCTCCCCAGCGCTGGGATTACAAACATGTGCCACTGTGCCCAGCTCTTTTACGTGGATTCCAGGGATGGAACTCGGTCTCTTGTTTTTTACAGCATGCACTTTACA